GTCATACCTTTTCTTTATTTTTTCATGCTTTTTCTTCATTTTCTCATTTCTTTTCTTTCTTTTGTCATGCCTTTTCTTCCTTTTGTCATGCTCTTTCTTCCTTTTTTTGGGCTCTTTCTTCCTTTTTTTGGGCCATTATTTCTTTTTTTCAGGTTGCTTCAGTTATTTTTTTATCTGCCTCATCCCTTGCAATTTTCAACTGCTCCCAACTTTCTTCACAAGTGAGAAGCTGTGCAAATAGAAGAGTTTTTCTTTTTTTGGACGAAGATAATTCGGATTCTTGTTGATCTGAAGAAGCTTTCAGTATTTTAGCTTGAGAGGTTCAAGGAACTGGATACTTAAAGACTAAATGCAGAAAACATGTTCCTGGGCTTTTATAAGTTTCTAATTCTTCTTTCAGTGCTGTGAATTGAATTTTTAATATTTCATTTTCGCTTTTAAGCATTTCATTTTCATTTTCAAAAATTTCTTTTTCTTTTTTTAATAGGGTGGCATTTGAATGAGTTAAATGAAAATGATTTAGTTAGTTAGGTAGTTGTTGAAACGATTTGACAGGTTGTATACAAGGTGGTTGATTAGTTGAAGTTTGGTTAGTTGAAGGTTGGTTGGTTGAAGGTTTACTATTTGAAGGTTGACTATTTGAAGGTTGACTATTTGAAGGTTGACTATTTGAAGGTACTATATTAAATCATTCTGTTGTTAACCAAGGGTCCAAGTGGTCTGGACTGATAGCATCAGGATTAAACAGCCATATTCCTGTACTTTGAAAAGTATTACAGATATAGCTGACGGAATATAGATTTCGAGAAAAGCAAGGCCAAAAACCTTCACAAAGGTATGTTTCATTACTATTTTCCATTATTATTGTTTCGATATTTATCACTTTCTTTTCCATATTCATTTTTTAATTTTGCAAAGGGAATTTCGGATAGTTGTAAAATGTGCATCTTATAGGGAGGAAGTGCATAAAGAAGAATTCTATTTTTGCGACAAAACTCAACACTCATATAACTTATATGACCTTTGTGACCATCGAGCATTAACAATACAGGACAGGCAGGTAGGACAGAGTTGTTAAAGTGGGTAAGATACATTTGAAAAAGATCTTCTTGCATGTACCCACTATTAGTAACCCCATTACAGTTCCTGGAGGCGCATCTTCTAACAGACCAGGGATTACACAGATACCTTTGTAAATTATTAAAAGGTGAATATATGACCCAGTGGCCAAAATTGTAAGAGCAACAGAAATATGATCATGAGAATTTCTATGCGCAACTTTATGAACTTGCTGTGCTCCTTTTTTTGATATTACTTTTAAACTTAGGTATAAGAACAAACCCAGTCTCATTTATATTCCAAATTTGTATAGGAGTAAGTGAATTTTCATCATTTATTTTTTTGAGTTTATCAAAATGGTCTTTAACAATTGTTGCATTTGCCTTTGTGCCCGAGCTTCGGATAATTCTTGAGGGATATGAAATAATAGCTCGGGATGGTTTTTCATAAAACGGACCCACCAGTCTCAACCTGGCCCATTATTACTAAACAGATGTTGTCGCTTATTAATTTGCATTATTTCTATCACACACCGGACTTAGTTAAACCAAATTCAAGCTTTTGCATGTTAATGCAATAGCTGATGAGTTGGTTTTCTTCATGCTTAGTTAAGACAGTAGGGGGACCTGGATGGTTTGGAGGGCTATTATTTTGTATTGCACGTATAAGAGTTGTTCTAGGAATTTCATATTCTTTTGCTAATTTATTTACACTTTTGTTAGAGTCATTTTTATGCTCATTAAGTGCAGCGAGAATTTTTTTATGCCGATTATTGTCAAGCTCATGTTGGTTATTATTAGAGGCTCTTGGCATGTCTATAGAAAAATCACGTGAATGTATGAAATTTATAGCTTGTGTACTGAAATAAAAAAAAATTTTTTGGTTAATTAAAATTAATTTACTTAAATACAATATGATTAGAGATATAAAAAAAAAATTCTAATTTAAACTTCTGAAACATCAAATTTAATTAACAAAATATAACTTATTTAATGTAACATAACTGATACATGTAATGAATTTAAGTGCACCTTTTTATATTTCTGTACCAAGTACAACAAATTCTAAAAAAGGAGCATGTAAATTGATAAGTATCAATGTTCGATCATATTTGATAGTTTTTTCTTCACTGATGCGATTTTTTTTTGTACAGAATGTATGCATGCGTATGTGCGTTTTTTTTATTAATTGGATACAATATTAGCAATTTTATTTTATTAAAAAGCTATTAATAAAAATTGTTGTATTTCAATAAAATTTGATGTGAACAACATTATTTAATGCTCAAAGGTTAATTTTCTAAGTACAAACATGTGGTTTTGGTTATAATACAATTATACTATGATTATCTTATTTAAATAAAAAGTTAGTTTTTGCTTAAATGTGTATATTTTATGATCTAGAGATCAGAGCTAGGTGATTTTGACACCTTTTGATTCATCTCAAAGAGACGAATTGAATGGTGGCAAAATCATCTAATTTCAATTACTAGATCATAAGTTATTTCACTTGACCACAATACTTCTCCTGTCTACAATACTCTATCTCCCTTATATGAGGTGACTATAAAGAGGTTTGACTGTACATATAGATTAATTGAAAATCTATTTCCGAATGAGAATCAATTTATTAATAAATGATGATGCAGATCATTTCTAAACAATATTGAATAATCTTTTTTTAGTTCAAAGCTAACGTGATTTTACGACTACTAATATAAGAATAATTTCACCATATTCTAATATACTAGATCATGAGTAGTAATGTGAGAAAGTTATAGGGTGTAGTGATCAAATACTAAAAGGTTTACTTTGACGTGAAGTGGCATTTCTGGTCCAAAAATAGGTGTTGATTCACATAGATCACAATTTCAACTGGGCAAATTCACAGATACTTATCTTTTTAAGCTTTTTAAAAATATTCAATAGAACTTGTTTGTCTTGTCCTTTTTTATGACTCCAAAAAGCTATGAAAAAAATTAGATAGTTACGAATGAATCAGATTGAAACCAAAAAAATAAAAAATAAAAAAAAATTGATCTAAAAAAAATGAAAAGCTGAGTAAGTGAGTATGAATTAGATGAAGCCAAGAAACAA